GTGTGAGTGTGAGTGTGAGTGTGAGTGTGAGTGTGAGTGTGAGTGTGAGTGTGAGTGTGAGTGTGAGTGTGAGTGTGAGTGTGAGTGTGAGTGTGTGTTTCTGTGTCAGTGTGAGTGTGAGAGTGAGAGTGAGAGTGAGAGTGAGAGTGAGAGTGAGCGTGAGCGTGAGCGAGAGCGAGAGCGAGAGCGAGAGCGAGAGCGTGAGCGTGAGCGTGAGCGTGAGTGTGAGTGTGAGTGTGAGTGTGAGTCGCCTGTGTTACATCGGTACCTATAACCTGCCAACGCATAACGTTTTCGCAACGTTAAGATTTGGTTGTATTATGGTTTGGTTTAACAAACACGTTTAACATTCGAAAACGTTAATAATAAGGTTATATGTAGGTTCATGACAAACGTTTGCGAGAAACGTTTTTATTAACGAATATTTAACGTTTTTGGTATGGTTATAAATTATTTCAATAAAAACGTCGGAAAAATGTTTTTAACGTTCGCCAAACGTTAATATGATGGTTACAAGATGTTTACAAACGCTTGCTCAAAACATTTTAGTGTTTATCACTTGCATTTTTATATGGTTGCCAGTTGATTCAATAAAACGCCAGCAACAAACGCTAGTCATTATATGCTTTACGTTTACCGTACGTCTTTAGTATAGTTATAAACTGGTTAGTTACAAACTTTATCATCAAACGTGTCGGTAGCCCCGTTAAAATTTCTGGTGAAGGATGAGATGTCATAAAAAATATTTAAAAAAAACTAGATAAATAAATAAACAAACAAACAAAGAAAAAAACAAATAAATAAATGTGCGTGTGCGTGTGCGTGCGTGCGTGCGTGCATGCGTACGTGTGTCTATGCTAAATACAGCAGAATTCAGTGACGGTATTGCTTTAAATATTTCAAATATTAAAACTAATAATATTATTATATATTTATCATATCTTTTTCATTTGCTTTTAAAACACAAAGCATCAAAACTGCATGATCTTTACTCAAGTGGAATTGCTTTTAATTAACATCTATCAGAAATAAAAATTCGCTCTCACTACACGATGTACCTTGAGCAATTATTGTGATTACCCCACGCGTTTCATATAAATGATACATGCATGTGTAGCGTACCATAACAGGGGTAGCGCACCGGCTGTCTCACTGTGCTACGTCGATACCCGTATAGCTACCTCGTTTGGCAGACTAAACTAGCTGTTGTCGTTAGTGGTAGTACATCGATATTTTCCTCTGCTCATATATTCTTTACATACTGTCGAAGTTCCAATGTGTCCACGCCGCATCGTACCGGAACGTTTATTGGTTGCCAAGATACAGAGCGGGTACGACTCGAAAACAACATACATATATTGTTCTCAGGCTCATTCAAACGACTGGATTCATTACTTACTCATTACTGACTGGATTCACGACTTATTCATGATGACTGGATTCAAAACATCTAGGAAGCGCCGATTGTTTTCTATGTGTGCGACACTGCGTTGCTGCTGCGTGTAGACAATTCAGCGATGTGAGGCTGATACATCAAAGAGAAATAAATTAGCATATGGATTATGTAGAGATTTTTGAGCTGTTGGCACAGTTCTGATTCTGGCAATTATATGCAACCACGTGTGGTTACATATAAAATGAATTTACATTACAGACGTAATTAGACCGTCTCCCTCCTCTCAACACATTGGAGTTATATAGCTGTGGATTAAGCGCACAAACTTTATAAAACGAGCCACGTGTGGGTTCAAACTGTAAATGAATATGTTCACTGAATACTGAACTGTATGCAGCTAAACATTAATACCAAGCAAGTTTGATGCAAGTATGGCAGCAAGCATATGGCACCAAGCATCCACCTAGCCACGCACGGATATACCAGGTTGCTCTGTCACGTGGGTGGCTATTAGTTTTGGAATTGATCCATTTTCGGCGAGTATGCTGTCGCGTGGCGACTCACCTGGACGGCACTATAGTAAACGGATCGCATGAGTGAAGTATGTCTACCAAGCGCCTCGTGGTTGGTTTTGGAACAGTTGCACTGGCCACCTTACTTGGTATACTTACATTTAGTACGCATGGCACAAGTGTGCGAATCGCCGCGTACGGGCTTATAGACACAAGCTTCTCTCAACCAAATGAAGAAAGCATATATTCGATACCGCAGACATGCACTGAGTGTTGTCAGCATGAGCCCCTTCCCTGGATAGACAGCAAAATTGCACCCCGTGCAATTACGCAAGTGCAATACTGGAAGATAATGTCACTGATGAATTTAGTAGATATGGTGTTTAAAGAAAACAAAGTTCCCTACTTTGTATTTGGAGGAGCACTCTACGGTAAGCAACCTGAATTTATTTTGCACAGTTGTTTTTCCTCTCTGCCTTTTCTCGATAACTTTACGTGCTAATATATTTTTACAACTAATGCTAATAATGAGTAGAGGTCGAAGTAGAGTCGGCAAATACATGTAGCGAAAAAATGCCTGATCGTACTTCTAACCTATGAGAAATTCGTTTCAAGCGCCAATCAACGGTAGAAAATGTTAATAATACAATGTAAAATAGTTTCAAAATTGAAATAGAAAAACTACGTCGTACGTCTAACCGTACAGCTCAACCATCAGACATTATTCCAAACTAACACATAACGTTTCCCTGATGTTCCTGGAATGTTGTGGTTTGGTTATATATATGTGAATAACCTTCGCGAATAACGTTCCAGAAACGTTGTAAACTAACGTTATACACATTCCAAAAACGTTATGTAGCAACCATAGAAATACTATTTTAGTTAGACGTGTCTCTATAATATATATATATATATATAATATAAATTAGCACAGTCAATATACCTGTGATCGGGGAATTAAAACAGTTTGAGGAATACATGACAAAACTAATACAAAATGTAGAGTTCGAGGAGTTGGGGAAACTTCTATACCATTCGAGTACTTCACGGGTGCTCTTCCAAAGGTTTAGTCCTGTAGATTCCACGACTTTCTTAACTAGTCTCTCTGTTATAATCTTGCTAATGTGACCTATTTCGGATTTTGTAGGTGTGATAAGTCTGCAGCTGGGTTTATTCTTGAAGTCGGGTTTGTGATC